TTTATGTCGCCTCTTTACAGCAATTTCATCGTCTGTTTGGGTTTCAGATGCACATTTTTCTGCACTCTATCAATACTAACATCTTCTTGCACACATGTGATTTATCCCCCTTCTGTAGCTCTTCTTTTGTTTTAAACCATAAATTACTGTTATGCAAAGCAGATTATTTTCTCAGATGGGTTTATTTATTTGTACGTATTTGAGTAATCATTTGCAATACTTGGCCATCTAAATGTCAGTTACTTAACTTAGAAGGGCTCCCTACAGAGGAGCAGTCACGCAATGTAAGTTCACCTATGAATCAGTCCAAACACGCTCTCTGTGCAGTCCATCTCACTCTATTCAGAGTCATTCATGGGCGTCACATGTGCTCATCATCAGACTCTACTGTTTGTCCAAAGTTTGTCAGTCGCTCATGGTGATAAAACAATTTATTCAATCTTTCGCACTGAGACAATTTTTGGAGACGAATCAAAGAGTTTCCATGTCTGTGCATGCAGACGACCAGTTTGTGGCGGTAAATTAGTGGCTTTGATGCCACTAATTTACCGCCACATTATGCTGCAAGTGTTCATCCTAAATATTTGAGAGGAAAATCAACTAAGTTAATGCTACATGGACGTATAGAGATGATTCATTTTTGCAACTGACTGATTTCCTTGTGTTTTATCCAAATATGTCTGTTAAGTAAATAATTACACACACCACCACACAGGTGCTGTGTTAAAGCTGACCTGACCTTTTACCTCCATGAGATGCAGGCGATAAAGAAAACAATATCACGACCATTAAAACTTCACTATATTTTCACGAGAGCTTGTAATAATAATATTACCAAAACAATGTCAATAAAACCAAAACTTTTAAAATGGTACATTAACTTTTATATTTAACCGCTGCAAGGTGAAAATAGAAGGTGTTTGGATCAATCTTTAGGCTCCTCCATGAGGACCTGCATGAAACATAATTTGTGTGCATGTGGTTGCTGCCTGAATCCCTCGCCAGCACTGCAGCCTGTCCAGCAGGTGGAGCCCTCTATCAGGAGTCAAACATTTGGATTCTTTGTCAATTTTCTTCTGCATGATGAAAACCAAAGTGATTTAGAAAAATAAGTTTATAATGAAAACTGCGCACTTACGTCGATAAGCTTTAACCTTCAAATCCAACTTGAAGAACGAATACATTTACCCGTCTTATTAGATGGATTCAAGTGTAGTAAGCTCTTAGATACACTATCAAACTTACACGTAATTACAAAGGTATTATGTGTTCAATGATCATGTTGTAATATACACAAATTATACAAACAAAAGAATGGCAAATCAGGCAAATGACAGTGTGCAGAAATCAGTTTTGGCACTTACAACCAGAGGGGGAAATATACAACAACCTCCATACCTGCACAATATGGGACATTGCAGTAAAGCATTGAAAATGACTGTACTACTTGAATCAGCAATCTCTCTGACCACAGACTGTCGGAAAACATGGCTTGCCGTGATGTTTTGAAACCTGGATTTTGGGTTTGCCGCCATGTTTGTAGTTAGTGGAGGCTGACAAGCCAAATTTTTGTAAAAGCTGAGAACCCTGCATAAAGAAAAGTTCCATCGCTGTTGAGTGTGTCAGACTGAGAGCCCTATCAGATAAGCACACAAGCTGCTTCTCTACACTGATGAAAAAATATCAAACTTGATCTACTTTTTAAATAAATGAAGGCAACATTATGCAAATTGTTATTATGTAGATCAAGCAAGACTAGTCTTTGTATAAACTACCTAATTTTTTGTACGTATACAAACAAATTGCAAGTTAGGTCAACTTAATTTGAATATATAGATCAAACAAAAATAGCATTTCACAATGACTTTAAGTCATATTTCTCAAAGCGTTGCTCAAGAAGACAATTATTTCAAACCACGCAACCAGTTTCAATAGAGATATTTCGAACAATGAGATAATTACTACTACCACTCTCACTATTTCAGCACTGCAGGGGACAAGAAATCTGTTTCCAATCATATAATGATTCTAAATTAATATGTATAGGCCTGAGGACAGGGTGCGATTCACCATCATGAAGCTCAAAGGTTTACCAAATCCTAAAAGAGCCATGGCTGATGTGGTTCAACGTGACCCACAACACCCATGGTGTCCCCCAATTATCTTTGAAAAGAGTAGATGTAACACGATCAATGTTTGTTGTGTGCGTTTGGCTGGGATTGTGTAAAAAAACATATTTCAAAACTGCAAAAAATATATTGAGAAATCTCCATATTGTCGTCACTGACTTCTCAACTTTCACTAGTTAATGCACTCATAATAACCCCGAGCAATTCGTATGTCTTCTATTGTCTTAAGCTTTCAGCCATAATGACATGAAATACTGTGGAGCTGTTCCTGCATCGTACACACTCATCACTCAGCTACATATTTCTATCAGGCTTCCCCACTGTGAGGTGAGTGCAGTGTGACATAGTCAACCTGAGTATAAATTGACCTGACTTTTACTTGCTCACATGAACATTGCAGTTTGGAGGTGGGGTTAAAGGTGACATTTACAGGTGTCCGCAGCTGGAGAGAGCTCACACAAATTCCAACGGGATTATTTTATTAAGAAATTGGGGCCCAGAGTCCGATTTCTCCCTGCAGCTGTAACCAATGTTTCATGACCAACTGTAGAGCTATGACTGTCAGGAACCGCACATTTCTGTATGTTTGAAATGGAAAATTGGCCACTTCCCTGTAGAGCCCAGCAGGGTGCAGATTTTCCTTTGTGACGGGAGCACCGTTGGAGTGAACGAATAAGCAGGACTAATGCTTTGTATGGAAACCAGAATTACGAGAGAATTATTAGAGCTCAGTTGCCGGTCCGAGAAATTAAAGATGGAAGCTGAGCGTTTTGTTCTTACAGGAAAGTTAAGCGGAAGACCCTCTTTTCCCTGTTTCCCTTTGAAGGAAATCATTTTCAGATATTTTGTGATTTGACACCAAAGGCCTCAATCATTTGTGTCTCTAACGAGTGTTTGAAATGGTAGTCGGGTATCTTGGAGGCCAGAGACCCATGCAGTAATGCTGTCATCAATCTGAGGGTCTCCATGCAATACACTTCGGCTTCTCCATTTAAACTAAAGGCTTCTGACATGTGACAAAGCTCTATTGTATATTTAAACGTCTTGCCACTGTCGCTGTATGCAATCCTTCCTCCTCTACGTGAGTCATCTCTATTAAAATCTCAAGTTTACAGGTATAGCCTGTTACGTTTTTGACCAATAGTAGCAGAATGGAGCGATGTTTTTATGAGTGGAACCCATTTTATTTGTTTTTGTATATACACCTGAGGACACATGTTGTGGAAAACATATTCCTGCCAAAGCTTTATAATAATAATACTGGTAACTTTTCAAAACAAGGTTACAAAGAGATTTTTTTTAAAAATGGATGGGTGAGGTGAAAGAGCAAGTTATGATACGGAATGACAACATAAAAGAGCATAGCATCACCAGTTAAAATATGATAAGTAAAGCTGGTAAAAAGATGAAACTGATTGAGCGAAAGGCTCACTGTGCCTGCTGCAAACTTCCTCTGATCAGCAGGTATCATGATGAACCAAGAAATGCAGCAATGCTCCAACAAACAGTGAAGAAGAAGACTGCTGGCAAGAAAACACCGACGTAAACAATGGTGATAGATGTTAACCAAAACATATCTAATATACAAACATTTGTTGAGGGAAGGAAATGTGTTTTTCACACCTCAAGGACACAAACAATAAGCTTTGGTGTTTAACAGTGAACGAAATGATAAAACTCCAAGTTTCTGCTTTGCATTTTAAGTTTTTAGTCGAGTATTTTTTGCTGAAAACTGCCTGCTGAAGGCCACAATAACATAGAGGCAAACAATAAATAAATACATTCACAGTAAAGAGTTTGGGCACATATACACGATTGCATGAGAAAAAACGAATCACTGTTGCCATGTCAGGTCTTTGTTTTGTGTACGTATTGACACCTGATGGTTTCAAATGTCATTGATGTAGAAACACTAAATAACAGATGTAGGATCTGTAAGCAGGCTACTTCTTGTGATAGGGTTCCGTAAAATATGTGTAATAAAATGTTTATTGTTCTTTGTGAATGGAGCACAGCGTGTTGATTACTTTTAATACGATTAAATTGGCTTCTGGATGTGTAATCAAATTTGAATTAACATCCACAAGACATTAACTGTCAGGGAAACAATAAGTACAAGTTGTTGTAGATGAAGCTTGTGTTTGCTGTAATGACAGCTTGTTTTTGCAGTGGTGGAAAGTAACTAAGTACTGCACTTAAGTACAGTTTTGAAGTACTTGCACTTTACTTGAGTATTTATATTTTATGCTCCTCTATACTTCCACTCCACTGCAATTCAGAAGCAAATATTGTGTTTTTTACTCAACTACATGTATTGGACAACTTCAGAACAATCAGTTAATCCAAAATATAATTACCAAAGAAATTATGAAATATTATTATGGATAAAGTCTTCATTGATCTGCGGGGCAAATTCTCAACATCGGATATTTACCAGCTGCAACCTTAAAATAATGCATTACAAATTATAATGCAATAATATAACATTACTCTGAAATGGGCCATTCTGCAGGAGAAGTACTTTTACTTTTGATGATCCTGATGCAAATATGTAGTTACATAAGAGTATGAATGCGGGACTTTTACTTGTCACTGAGCATTTCTACAGTATACATACAGTACAAATAAAAAATCTGAGAATTCTTCCACCACGGAAACATTGCAGCATATAATTATTTTGACGTCATCGTCAAACATTTTAGCTGCAGGCTCCATGAAGGAAATTTTCATAGTTGAGTGACTTAAATAACTTCTCTCTCCACCCATTGAAAGAGGGAGCGAATTAGAAGTCAAATTGGAAAAAAGAGGGGGAGTCTGTAATGAAACCAGAGAAAGAATAGAAGCGTGGACACTCACGAGGACCAGCAGGAAACCTACACGAGAACGAAAGGAAGCAGAGAGAGAGGGATCGGTTTCATTCAAGGGTTTGTGCCTAACAAGAACAACCATTTTTAAATCCTTAACTTTTTTGTCACTCAGTGAGCAACAAAAACATTTCAAGCATTTTGTTTCCTCTCTGAAAAGACGCACAACTGAAGTAAGTAAATGGGTTTTCCTTGAGATGTTCACTAAGCTGCTACTGTTAGTCCGTATAGCAAGCCTCAGCATAACGCGTGTAACCTGGCGGCATGAACCGGCGGCAGATCCTCACACGTGGCATGAAACTGAAACTTTTACGTTACATACAAAAGTCTACACTGTCTGTATTAAGCCGGCGAATATGCGTCGTGGGGAAAACGTTTTGACGTTTTGGGCGTTCACACAGAGAGTGAGAAGGTGTCAGTGGAAACAGTAATATACTGAAGGGCTGTGTCGGAAGTGACTGTTCAAGTGACTGCTCATGCTGTTGCTTCTTTGAGTGGTGTCTCCCAAATTCTGTCACAGAGCTCATTTGTAAGCATATAATAAGCACATAGCTACAAACTAGACGCATGTTTTATTGCATTCTAATTTAATTGTTGTTAACATATGCAGTGGTTGCAGGCATGTTTTAATTATAGCCTCTAACTTACAGTCAGATTTTATAAAAAAAAAAAATGTTCAGTAACCAAATGTTCTTATAAATTTTGGCTGTAAATTTTTTTTTGTTATTGCTTGAAAGATGTCTTAAGAAAATAGTGAAAAATATGTCCATCACATTTTCTCAGAACCCAAGGTGACAGCTTTTTTTGGCATATTTTGTCCAAAACCCAAATATGTTAAATTGACAGTGATCTAAACTATGAAAAGCAACAACTCCGCACATTAGAGAAAGCTTGAACTTGCAAATATTTGTTTAGTGGCCTTTTTATTTGCTTCTCACATTACTTCATTAATCAATTATTAGAATCATTGGTAGTTCATTTTCTGTTGAATCATTGAATCATTCCAGCACTATAAATCACTTTTGCCACATGTTGGTGACGATGATTTCACGCCTCGTTCTGCCTCCTTCACTGTCACCTGTAGGCAGGTGTGGTAGGCTATATAGGAACCAGGGGGTATCCATCACTTTTGGGGTTCTTTCTTGTGCGTCACAATTCCGACGTTTTGAACCCCGCGGTTCCGGTAACCGGACCCCGCGCTGAGGTCATGCCCGCGGAGAGACAGCTGCTCGCCGGCTGGGCAGCCTCGGGGGTTGCGTTTCTTGGACTCCTCGGGGAACAGAGGCTCCTAGAGTGCGTGGTTTATTTTCTTGGAAACTTGTGAGGATAAAGAGTTTGCCCTGCGGTCCTTTATGTCCGGCAGAGGTTGATAAACACCGCTGGTCAAGGCCAGAAACATCCCCGCGGGGAAAAAAGAGCAGGGCTGGATGGGAGCATCAACAGAAAGACTTGAAATGAAGCAGGACATGTGATGATTGAAATATGTCATGGCCAACCCTCATTATAATACAGAAGCTTCAGTATGGTTTTGTTATATAATCTAAGATATGATATAATAGCCGCCACTATAAATACCAAAACTCTACATGGCCATAACAGTGGAGTTAGTCATGGCAACATTGCATCAGCTGCTGGTGCGCAGGTATTTCAGGAAGTTCCTTATATGGTGTTCAGCTCAGATCAGACTTCACCTGCCGCACACGCACACACACACACACCCACTTCGCAGTGTTGTGAGAAGTGCTCACAACTGCCTGCCAGGCCTAGATAGTCTTTGCCTTTTTGTGTTTCGGCTTGTCTGCCTGTCTTTGGTTGTGTGTGTTAACGTTCCCGGCTCACAACACCAGGGCACTCCAAACAGGCGGGAAACAGAGAGAAAGAATGCGTGGTAACCAGAGGTGGAGGCAGCAGATCAAATGGTTGAACTGGCAATACCTTTGTGTCTTGCATCAGTCCACGTGGTTTTATAACCTGACACCGAACACACACTCAGGAGCAACTGACACCTTTTTTGTTACAGACCTTTCTTCTACGCCATTTGACTCTGTGTTGCATTTACAACATTGTCTCCCGAGCAATGAGTGTGTATTCATTGTGTGGAGCAGTCACAGCGCTGCAAATCCAATCCATGTGACAGCCGCCTCTATACTTAAACCTTCAATAGACTGTGTATGTTCACGTTTGAAAGACTCGTCTGTCCGTCAGTTCTGCCGGATTAACACATAAACAAATAATTAGGGAAACAAGAGACTGCATTAGTGTGTTTGTCAGACTGAGGGGACATGGAGAGGATCAATGCTGCCCAAAGTGACACAAAACTGGCACTACACTGCCTTAGAAGTATAATGTTGTGTTTCTTTTGGGCCCACTCTGCTATTCTGACCCCCTGCCTTTAAAGTCATGGTGTTACAAGAAACAGTTAGTGAATGATAAGTTAAAGTGAATTACTGGTGTTGACAGGACTGCACACACATTTAAGATTAAAGATATTCAATCAGGGTTTCAGGATCACTTTTTGCATCTTATTGCATTATCTTTGCTATTTGCATTTTTATGCTATCATTAGCAGCAGTTGCTTGCTGAGTAATAAAACACGAACAGACAAACGCTCCGACAGAGAAATAGGTTGACATTTTAATTTGTGTCACTGGACGGTAGGAGTTAGTGGAAAATGTCCATAATACATCCTCCCCAAACTCAAAAGGTCATGTTTTAACGTCAACAATTCTGTGACTCATTATCAAGACTCAGATCTTGATATAAGTTTATGGATGTGAGAGGGGTAATGATGGTGTCATAGTTTATCAAGTGTCTCTACATATGATGCAATACAGTATCTGAGGAGGAAAATGTACCACTGTCATTCACATGTCAGGAAGACTCACAATCATATCCATCTTATCGATAATGAGATTGATTTCCAATAGAGCTGCAATGATTAGTCAATGAAACGATGGGTTGATCAACAGAAAATGATTATGCAACTATTTCAATAATCAAATCTTTGTTTAAGTCACTTTTTCAGCAAATATGTCGACAGGTGGACAGTGCCAGCTTCTCTAATGTGAGAATTAGCAGCTTTTCTTTGGTGTTACGTTGCAGTAAATTGAAAATTGGTCGGACAAAACAAGACATTTGATGAAGTCACATTGGGCTAGGATGTTGTGATGGTCATTTTCACGTTTTCTTTAACGTTTTACAGGCTAAAAAATTGAAGGAGAAGATTAAACAACTACAGAAACGATCCCCACTTGTCCTTATCCGTTAGTCTCCCCCCTGATTGAGACCGTAGGCAACAAGTTGGTGGTTTATTTAACAGGTGTATTTGTGGATTATACATTTACATGACTGAGTGAATGAGTGCCGTCTCACTCTGTCACCTCATTGTTGGGAGTTGGGGAGTTGAGCGTGTGTGTGTGCTGAAGGGGTTTTCAGCATGGGGTGTCAATTACACAGAAATCCCCCTTTTTAAACTCTCCTTCCAGCACAAAGGCAGTTCAGTGGATGATGGACAATCGCATTACATGAGCGCCTCACCAGCACATACGCAGACTCATGGACACACGCAGAGACCAATCTGTCCCGTTAGATCCTCTCGTCTTCTCCCATACAAACACACGCTCACATGCTGAAGAGGTGCCCTCATTAGGAGCTGCTGAAAGGGTTTTCTGTTTGAGGTCTTGACTTGCACCCCCCCCCCCCCCCACCCGCGTCTCTTCAAATCAAGTGGCTGAGACTGTTTCCTCTCTCTGTTCTTTTCCACTCCTTTTCTGGTTCTCCGCCAAATTGAATAGCTGGTTATATTTGGCTCTTTATGTCTTGCTTAGATGTGAATGTGTGTGCCATCCTGTCAGGGCGGTCATGACTGATTCTGTTGGTCACTAAAGTCCCAGGTTGCATCGACCAATGACCTGTCCTATGTGTGTGTGTGTGAGTGTGTGTACTTTCCAGGTGGTCATGACTAACCCGACTTTATTTGGTCAGTCACGTCATGAGTTTGAGTATTCTATTAGCCTGCGTGTTGTTTGTTTACATGAAAGCTGCATCACCACTCACCTTTAACACGTTAATTCCAGTTAGATAAACCCCCAAAACTGTGGTTACATGCTGTGGAAAGACTCCTTCACTCCGACTTTCAGATGGAAATGTCGCCCCTTTTAAGATGCTATCTCTATTTCCAGGACAAACGTAGTAACATCGAGCGCTCAGCATTGTTTCCGCCGGTCAAAATCAAGGGTTAAATAGTGGCTCTGTAGACAGCACAGTGGGAGGATATCTGAGGACAATGTGTCAGGTACCCAACTGGGATTTACAAAACAATGACTGGTCACAAGGGTTCATTAGGCAAAAATGTCCTGTCTCGGAGGGGCTCCATCAGGTCTCCCCAGTGAAGTAAACCTAATGAAACATCACAGATTTTCTATTTTGTGGAAGTCAATAAAGAGAAAGAAAATGCCCTTTTGTAAATATTTGCTCTATTCTGGTGATCAGTAAAGACTTCTGGCCCACACAACTCCTTTCAGCTTTTAAAGGGATCGGTAGTCATGAATGATCTCATGCTTGTTATTTAGTTTTATGCTTATTTTATTGCATCATTGGATGTGTTTTGTGCCATTTGTATTGGAGCTGCAACAATTGGTCAATCGACAAAAACATGATAATTGAATAATAGTTCAAGCATGTACTGTATAAGCAAAATTAGAGATTTTAATTCAGCTTCTGAAAAGTGAAAATTTGCTTGTTTTCTTACCCTTCTATGATAGTAAAATAAATGTATTTGTGTTTTTGACTGATGATTCGACAAAACAAGACATTTTGAAGACGTCATCTTGAGCTCTGGGAACTTGTGATGAACATTTTACACAATTAACAAACACGAATTGATTTATCAAGAAAATGAGTGGAAAATGTATCAATAAGGAAAGTAACCCGTAGCTTCAGTCCTAGTTAGCATATATTCTTATGTTGAGTTTTGTGCTGTTTTAATATTTCTTCTTCTTGCGTTTTGTCCATTTGTATAAATGCTGATCTAGGGACAGGCATTGCATTGAAGTTTAGGCTATTAGACATGCTGTTGTATGTGGCAGTTACCCACTAACATGGCCTTACATCTCAAAATACATCTCAAATGTTAGAAAATAAATTAAATTTCTCCTCCACCCCAGAGCAGCAGCGATGGCGCCCTCTCTCCTCCAGGCCTACAGGAGGCGCTGGTGGATGGCCGTGACGGCGGTGATTGAAAATCTGCTGTGCTCGGCGGTGCTGCTGGGCTGGGGCTCCCTGCTCATCATGCTGAAAAGGGAAGGCTTCTACTCCCACCTGTGCTCGGGTAAAATCAGAACCTTTTCCATCACATGACCCTAATATTTGTTGGTTTGTTTCCCTATAACAGCTCCAAACTTAACGTTGTATTATGACCTTGATACTTCATGATTTCTCGTAATTCTATGAGAATTGTCTGGCATGAAAGAGACATTTAAGAGAAAATTTGGAAAAATAAGAAGGATAATCTGGTCCCTGGTCGCTTTCCTCTTAAACATCTCTTGACCCAAGACTCCAAATGTTTTGACTGTCACTCACCTCTCTTCTCTCTCCACACACAGAGAACGAGTCTGTGATCGTGCCTTTGCCCAACTCCTCCAGTGGTGAGTTGGAGTGGCTCAGCTGCGTGGATCAGGAAGAGATGCTGAATCTGGGCTTTACCATCGGGTCCTTCTTGCTCAGCGCCACCACCCTGCCGCTCGGTGTCCTGATGGACAGGTTTGGGCCTCGCCCAATTCGCCTGATGGGCAGGTAATGGTTTAACAATAGACACCAGCCTGTGCTGTTTGTAAGGGAATGTGCACGTCTGTTGGGTGTTTAAGTGACCTTTTATGTTCAGTTTAATTCACAAAAACCTACATCTCTTAAGATTCAAATTTGCTTTTTGAAAACTTGTTGGCTTTGTCATTTGGAGGTTTGAATTCTTCACATTGTCTTTATACATGTCATGATGGTGAGGATTTGCAGGGAAAGTAAGTTCCTTAAGTAAAACTAAGGTAACTAAGGTTATAGTGAAAGAAAAAATGCAGACAGATAACATTCCCCGCGGTTTATTTCAAAGTCTGTGAATTATACATGTAGGTGGGGCAGTAGAGTGCGTGTGCACATACCATAGTAAACAAAGTCTTTCAGTTTGGGTGTGGAAACATGGGAACACAACTGCACTGTCAGAATGGAGCAGGACTGCGAGTAGTGTCTTCACAGACATGCACCCACACAGAAAAATGTAAAAAGCCTGCAAAACACACACACACACACACACACACTTACACACACTTTTTCTCGTTCTCATTCACAGTTTCAGCAGCTATGACATTGAGTAGCCCGACACTTTGAAAATACGATGAAAGTTGATAATATCTGCAGCTGGAGGCTGTTAAACCACGGACAGTTTCAGTTTTTGGCAGATAACCAACGGCTTAACTTGTTTTGTGAGACATATTTTTAATGTTAGTAGTTGTCCTGTGGCATTTCTATCATGTCCTTCTGGGAGTTTCTATATGTGTTACATATAAATGTGACTGTCAGTCTGCTAAGAAAATATACAGAATGCAAACATTTGAAATGCCCTTGTTCTTCTGTTACAGTTCGTGTTTCGGTCTGTCCTGTGTTATTATGGCCCTGTCTGTCTATGACCCTCATAGTGAGTACAAACACGAACACTAAAACATGTGCTGGATGTCAATGAATCAACTGCAAACTGTGGGATAAGAGATCTGTACATGCGTTCCAGTTATCTTGAGGCACAGCAGCTGAGATCGTTAAATTAAAGATTTAATTATAGATTTCACAAACAGGTCTTCATCTGGGAGAGCAACATTCTCAGTGTTCACATACTTTACAGAGGCATTTGTTCATTTATCCATATTATATAACATACTCACAGCTAAGACAAGAATGACCAAGTTTAGAATTCTTAAATATACAAATATACAAGTATTCTCAGTTATAATATACAAAATATACAAGTGTGTGTGTGTATATATACACACATTTTTCAGGGGTTGCGCAATAAATGGCAACATACAAATAGTAAATATAAATATATTGCCATGTATTGTGCAACCACTTAAAAACTGTCCAGTGTACCAAAAAATGCAATATTTGATTTCCTGTCGCCTGTTTATTGAGCGCTTGTACCAAGTGCTAATTCCACTTTATAAGGGCCATAATATCCTCCAAACAAACAGCATCTAGCAGCAGCGGACACCCCCCATCCCCACACATCTTTTTTTCAACTTATTAATTTTGTTTTAATTGCTCATTGCAGTCTGCACAAATAAACTCACAAATGTAGGTGTACAAACATCACAGAAACAAACAAAACCACAATAAAAGAAGATTTAAAAAAAGAATAAATTCATAATTACACCTCTCAGATGTCAGCAGTGGGCTAACTGAACCAACATGTTTGGTCTTACCCTGTTCATGACAATCAGCCTCTCGCCTCATCTATTCTGGTGAAATCGCTAAAAATAGTCAAAAATTTTGGTGGAAGACATGTCCTCCAGTCTTATTCTGAGAGAGTTGATTTAGGCTCTAACTCTTCTGTGTTTATGTTTTTCTCTGCAGATCTGTCAGCACTTATTTTCTTGGCTCTCTCCCTGAATGGCTTTGGAGGCATCTGCCTGACCTTCACCTCGCTCACGGTGAGACACACAAACTTCAGGAAGCAGAGAAATACAGATTATCACTTAGCAATGGAGGAGAATATACATGAATATAATACTGATATCTACACATCATGTCTCCTGGTTCACTTAGACATCTGGGGTCAAACAGTTGATCCTCTTTGATTATTACGATGGTTGGTTGTTGCTCAAAAACAGATACAGTGTTCAGGAAAAGCTACAGCTTTTGATTTATAACAAGTGGTGTCGTTGTTTTTTTCCCTCTCTGTGCCAGTTCTCATTGCTTTGGTGGATGAGGTCCTCTCCACCTGCATGTTGTTATTAACATCTTTACATAAGACCTGTTCTGACTTGGTAGAGAACAAAAGAAATGACAATGTTTTGCGAGCTTTGTTTGTTTTTATGAAAAACACAACTTGGATTACACAGTCATGTAATGCTTCCGAGGCTGTCTTTGCTTTCACCTATGTACTGTGTGTTTGTCCCTAACCGCCTCCAAAATGTTGTCAGTGTGACTATTTATAGTGTGTTTAAAGTTGTCAAAAGAAAGCCATGACAGAACAACAGGGCCAGTTGTTTAAGCTACAACTGGCTCCAAAGTAAAGACAATATAACACACAAAGAGCATAAAGTTATTTAAATAATCATGTCAGATTCTGAGCCAAAGGGAAACACATCCTGTTCAGTCTGGTCAGTATACATGTTGGCATCAAGGGGACGAGAATACATTTTCAGGGTTTTAGTCACAAATGGGCGCCAAAATTAGCCTTTTTTTCTTCCAGCTCTGAAAGACTCTACTGTGGTTACGTAACTCATATTCTGAGAAAGTACATATGCAGGGTTTGTGTTCCTGGAACAATTGAGCAGAACCCTTTTGGTAGCCGAGAGTCTCCGCGTGGCCGGGGCCTCTATTTGTGTCAGCTGAGGAAACAGAGTGTGCTGTGACTGGGAGCTGTGTTTGTTTACACTCACGTCAGGCATGTGTGTCATCTTGTGATGTGTCAGCTGGCACCAACGTTATGTAGCTCGTTTTATTGTTGCTGCTGCCTCCTGTGTCATGGCAAGTATTTCAGGTTTGTGTGCGTGCGTGAAAGTGAACAGTGTTTCCGTCAGAGCTGCACGTGGTTTATCCCAGATGGAAAGTCTCCCGTTTGTGTTTCCACCAATAACGAACAGCAGTTGACCACACACCCTCTCCCCAAGGCCCGGCCCACTCACCTCTAGTCGAAACACTCAAGGCCGCTCGTCCTCGTGTCTCTGCTGTTTCCTCTCACTTCCTTCCCTTTTTCCCTTTTTTCTCGTCCTCCCATCTTCCCGCTCTCTCCTGTTTCTCTGTTCTGCCCAGCGGTCAGCAGAAAATCAATGCAGAACCTTTTGAACTCTGCATGACTGTGCACACATGTGGATGTACACATGTGTGCATGGTTATGTACACACAGGGAGACGAAGATGAAACAAATGTTTGGATAATAAAGCTGAGTGTACAGATGACCCTCTCTTATATAGCGACTGCAGCCCGACTCTGTAGAAAAGAAAAGCTGAGACACCTGTCTCAAATTAAATAGATATTCTGCACTTTCATAGCCAACTGTGCCTGTATATATCCCACTGAAAACTGCTGACAATGTGTATAAACAGCAGACCTCACTGTTTCGGAGGAAACGATAAAATAACCTTTTTCATCCATCCATATCATCCATGTCCATTTGTTTAAGGTGTTTTTTTAGCACAGTCACGCAAATTATCTTCATTTTCAATGGACAGATGGTGATTTAAAACCCTTTAAATGAGCTCTATACGAAATTCGGAGCATATCTATCAGTTAGGGATTGACTCCACACAGCTCTCAGCATGGCAATGGCTGAGCTGGCAACTAACAGTGAAAAGTGCAAACAATGGCAACAGAGCTGAAAGAGCTAAGAGTGGTAAATTAGGGGGGAACCGGAGGAGGGTCGGTACGATTTCATGACAACCGACTGCCGACGTAATCAGCGGCAATCGCCGTGTGAATGCAGCGCAAATGTCAAAGGTATTCCCAAATTTACCAAACATACCAAATATGTCTGGCTGAATTTTGGGGGAAACGTGTATAAGACATCTCGAAGAGCCGCAACATGGAAACTGTTTGGCCAATAACACACACTTGCATAGCTCTCACACAGGAAGGCACTGTACTCTTTCCACTCGATTAATCACTCACAAACACATGATTATTATTACACACACACTTACACTTGAGTAACGTTCCAGTCCCTCCCTCCTCCTCTCTGTCCATGTCTGACCTTTATGTGTCTCTCCTTCTATGTCTAACTGGGTTTTGTGTTCCAGCATTGACTGACCTCCACATTGTTGTTGTAAAAAACACAAGGACTTCCATCCTGATGTAAATCATGTGCTTGAGAGCAATAACTCTGTTGTTGTTGAAGGAAGGAACACTTGTCCTTCTGTAGTCAGTTTCACATAACCCCCCCTGACAGCCCCTGAGTGTCTCTCACATGATTTGATACGATCACATTTGGCAGTTCATGATATACAGGAACAAAATATAAGTTCACATTATCTGGTGGGGTGGAAATCATAATATAAAACCTTTAAACAAAAAGAAGATTTAGATTTTGCTGAAGAAGAGATCTACCTGTTTTAACAAAGTAGGTAAATCCCCCTTGCCCTGAAGACACTATTTGCACCCGTGTTGTGTGCACATTAACTATGTCTATAGTAATAATACATCAAGTCATGTCGCAAACAAGAGCATAAAATTGACAGATAAATGTAAATTCCGCAGAAGGAGCCAATAATTTACAGCAAAGACAAGAGGCCAAAGGATTGTGGGTTTTATTTCAAGGAGTCATTCAGCACCAGTTCAGCTGAACTATTTATTTTGTGGACAAAATAACATGTTGAAGATTAAAAGCCTGTCAATGTGTAGTTTGTGACGGTTTCACTGCAGGGGTTCAAATAATGATTGTTATAATTAACTCTGTTATAGCTCCATGCCGCTGCATCTTCTTTCTTCACTTACAATATCAAAAACTGATTTGCAAGAAAAACCTTTGACTTTATTCAAGCACACAACCTTCAGGACGTCGTGTTCCCGTCATTCTTAACAACCCGTAATGGTGCACATTAACTATGTACGGGATGACTTTAGGCTTGTGAGTCACACAATGAAGGAATGAGGACTTAGTGTAACAGATCCTGCATGAGAATATCAGTGCTCATTGATAGCGCTGTGGCATGTCTCCCATTTTGTTACTCGCTGCGTTAATATGAGAGCTGTCAGTCTTCCAGGTGTTAACTTTGGTCTCAGCACACAGAGAGTGGCTCAGCTTCATTTAAAGTTGCCCAACAAATAGAGGCCACCACAGGGAATTGGGGATGACTCTTTGAAACACGAAGAAACCTCCAAAAGCAAAAGCTCCACGACTTGGCTTGAGGCATCCATAGAGGGCGGTTGAACCACCACTTTTACATTAGACTACTTTTTTTAGTGTTATATAAGTGTAGTGCAGCTGGACATGAGCACTGTGCCAACGCTGTGAGGAATAAAGGTTTGACAAATCTATGAAGAGCGAGAAAGGGCGGCAGAGACTTAACATGGAGAGAAGAAGCCGGTGCTAATCAGCTGTGGTTTAGTGTTTCCTGCCGGGATCTCCACAGAGAGACGGGCTGCAGCTGTGGTTTGGGGAGATCAGTCAAACTCAAAACATTGTTCCTCTCTCTACCTCTCTCTTTCCTCATTTCTATCCTTGCTTATTTTTATTCACCGTCATCCTTCTTTCTCCCTCCTACGTTCCCATTTGTTCCATTTTTCTTGATTCTGCCTCTCTTTCGCGTGTTCAGAGCTGCATCAGAATATCAGCGCTCATTAAGCTACTATTTGGCTCGTTCTCTTCGTGATTAAGCTCTTAATTAAACTCAGTGCCAAAGTCACACAACACCCAAGTGAGTGAGCACAGCACGAGTAGAGCCTGAACTGATTAGTCGTGACAAGCGAACGGCCAAAGCTCCATTTCTGACACCAGTTGACCCTCGCGTTGCCTCCATAAAGTCACGTGTTTCCGTCGTTCGCGTTGGCACGCAGGACATGTGCTGCAAGGCCCTGTTTGAAACATGTACAGTATTTTATGAGAACTGCCAGAACACGAGTGGTGGGAATCACGCCTGCTGCTGGCACATGCACATACACAGATTTCACGCTTATTTTCTGCTTTCTGCCTCACACACAAATCAACCAGACACACTCCTACACTTGTGAAAGCAAACATCGGTTAGCTGACATCTCGCATGGCTGGCATATCTTTAACATTACTTAGCGATGCAAACTTCCCTGTGTCCGCAGCCGGAGAGTGTATCTCATGGTCACAGTCGGGCCGTGAAGTATTCCGATTCTCAGAATCGCTGAATGAGGACGGGTGTTCCCCCCTGTGCTTTTTCTCATCTCCCTCTGACTTCATGTTTACCTGCTACCCTTGTTGTGTCAGCCCTGAGTGACCTCATGCTCTCCACTGCAACACACACACACACGCACATATTAGTCTGCCAGCCACAAACTGTCACCACAGGCTATCAGCAGCCAATCCTTCCCACAAAAAATATATATATATATTCAAAGAAAAGCCCAGATTAATTCTCCCCTACGTCTTCGACCTTAAGGTCTTGCTGGCCTCATGACTTAGCTCTAGGAATGTCCATATAGGGTGATGAATTTCCTAGAAAGCCTTTTGTGGAAGTTATCTCATAGTTTCTGGTCCACCAGGGAGTCCTCTGCAAATGGGACAAATCTGCATTGTTTTAAACCACACTCGTATCATATTTTAAGAAGCTGTAAACAACAAACATTCATGATAAAAATACATAATGACACATCAGTTTGGCCTCTGATTAAAAAGCTTCTATATTCAATATTCTTATATTAATTAAAAGGGGTCGTTCTTAGTGACAAACCCACAGATTTGTTGACTCTCCCCCTCAGCTCAACAAGACTTTATTGCCGCTTTCCCCTCGTTGTTTGTTTCAACCCCAACTGTGCTACCTATCTAGCATCAAACGGCAAAGTTAGCAGCTAACTGGTAATCATAGTAGAGCATTTAGCAGCTAAGGAGCCAGAAATGTCCCTCAGTAGTAGGTAGGACCAAAAGGAGATTAAGCAATGTGTTTATGTTAATCAGGTGGCCCCAAACACGACTCTAATCAAATGCTGAGGTCCATATCTGCTGAATTTGTAAATTCAAAGTGGTCTGAAATCAGTTCATGCAGGTTGAAGGACCTTTAATGGACACTGTTATAGAATCAACACCTTTTACAATCCCTTTTTCATTTTAGCAAGGTTTGTAGGTTTGTCATCGTAATTGTCACCAGCCCACATGCTTTCACCTCTACAAATCCATCTACACACCCATCTACACACCCCTCTACACACCCATCTACACACCCATCTACACACCC